TTTTGAGTCGCCTTCTCCCAACCCCTTTGTGCGAGCTGGTCGAAGTCGAGCAAAGGTTTCAACAGCTTCACAGCTGTTGAACTAAGTTTTTTGAGTCGCCTTATCCTAACCCCTTCGTGCGAGCTGGTCAAAGTAGAGCAAAGGTTTCAACAGCTTCACAGCTGTTGAACTAAGTTTTTTGCCGCTGTTGATAATTCTATTTAGTGGGTCGTGTGGTTAATTCCTATTTATGCCGTAGTTGGGATACAACTTCGTAGTTGTTTAGGTCGACTTTGTAGTCGTAGGCTTCGTAGCCTTGTCGAGATTCCACTCGAGGCATACAACTTCGTAGTTGTTTAGGTCGACTTCATAGTCGTAGGCTTCATAGCCTTGCCGAGATTCCACTCGAGGCATACAACTTCGTAGTTGTTTAGGTCAACTTCATAGTCGTATGCTTCGTAGCCTTGCCGAGATTCTACTCGAGGCATACAACTTCGTAGTTGTTTAGGTCGACTTCGTAGTCGTAGGCTTCATAGCCTTGCCGAGATTCCACTCGAGGCATGCAACTTCGTAGTTGTTTAGGTCGACTTCGTAGTCGTAGGCTTCGTAGCCTTGCCGAGATTCCACTCGAGGCATACAACTTCGTAGTTGTTTAGGTCGACTTCGTAGTCGACGTAGTTGGACGGCTATATAGCCATTTCGAAAAATTCAGTTCATTCAGCAATCAAGAAAAAGTCGATGCGTAAGTATAGAGACATATTAGAAGTGTAAACAAAATTTATTTCATTACTGGATATAATTTGATCGTTTCCCAGTACAAAAGGAAAACTCGAAACATTGTTCTTTAAGCATAAAAACGTTTGAGATGGATAACGTGCCAAGATCGCGGTAGTTGTCGACCTTCTGCATCCTCGAGTTCGTACGCACATCTCTCAAGCACTTTTGTGACTGTGTATGGTCCTTCCCAGTTAGCTTCTAGTTTCCCAACATGCTTGAGGGCGTCAGCCCGCTTTAAGACGAGGTCTCCGGTTTGAAACCGCCTGGTTCGAACTTTCTTGTCGAAGGCTGCACGCATCTTCTGCTTATACTCCACGGATCGCAGCCAAACTTCCTCTCGCACCTCTTCTATCATGTCGAGGGCTTCTTTTGCTAACTCTTCATTGTTCTTTTCCTCATAGAATGTCGACCTGTGAGATTCCAAGCTGACTTTGATGGGCAATAGAGCGTCCATTCCATAAACCATGTGGAATGGTGATTGCCCTGTTGAACTCCTCGGGGTCGTCCTATAGGCCCATAGGACCGTTGTCAGCTCGTCGACCCAGGCACAAGATGCTTTTTCCAATCTCTTCTTCAGTCCCTGCAGGATGGTTCTGTTTGTCACTTCGACTTGGCCATTTGCCTGTGGGTGCGCAACTGAGGTGAATCGCTGCTTGATCCCTATGTCGATACACCACGCCTGGATCCGCTTCCCTTGGAATTGTGTTCCATTATCCGAAATTAAGATCTTTGGGATCCCGAATCGACAGCAGATATTGTTGAACAGGAATTGTATCATTTTGTCCTCGGTGATTTTTGCCAAGGGCTCTGCCTCTACCCATTTACTAAAGTAGTCGACGGCGACCACCATGAATTTCCTTTGCCATGTTCCCATCGGCAATGAGCCTACCAAGTCGATTCCCCATTGAGCAAAAGGGATTGGACAGTTAATTGTCGTCATTGCCTCGGCTGGAATGTGGGGGATTCGACCATGGCGCTGGCATCTGTCGCATCCTTGTACCAATTGTTCGGCTGCTTTTCAGATCTTGGGCCAATAATAGCTTGCTCAAAGGGCTTTACCAGCTAGGGCTCGCGATCCTATATGCGCTCCGTAACACCCCTCATGGATCTCCCTCAAGACATGATCCCCTTCTTCTTCGGAAATGCATCGCAGGTGGGGTCCGACCATTAACTTTTTATATAAGACTCCTTCGATCTCAAAATATTTACTCAGATATCGGGCTGCTTTCTCCGTCTCCTGCTTATCTCCTTCTGGCACTCGACCTTGTAATAGCTCGCGAATTGCTCTTCGCCAATCCTGCTTTTCGTCGACCTCCATTGTCTCACTTAGGACACTCCCTTCTAAGTGCAGTGTGGTAATATGATTTCCCATCTTTCCTTAATTTGAACTTGCGATTCTTGCGAGCCAATCGACTCACTTGTTCTCTTCTCGAGGCACTTGCGTTAGCTCAAACCTTTCTAAGCCTTGCACCAGGCTCTGAATTTCCTCGACATATTTTATCATTCGATTCTCTTTAATTTCGCAATTTCCCAATACTTGCCCCACGACGAGTTGTGAGTCGGAATGCGCCACGATTTCCGTTGCTCCACCACCGACTGCCAATTGAATCCCCTTAATTAGAGCTTCGTACTCTGCTTCGTTGTTCGAGGCCTTAAACCTCATTCTGATGGCGAAGTCGAGCTGTTCGCCTTCGGGGGATACTAGGACGACTCCCAGACCAGATCCCCTGGCTGCCGAGGACCCGTGCATTATCCATTTCTTGCTTGCTCCCTTAGTCCCTTCTTGGATAAAGTCAGCCAGAGCTTGGGCTTTTATAGCTCATCGCGGTTCATACTTGATGGAATATTCACTGAGCTCGACCGCCCACTTTACGAGTCGACCCGACACAGTAGGTCGACCCAAGGTCTCTCCGAGCTGAAAATTCGTCCTTACTATTATCACATGGTTCAGGAAATATGGCCTTAATTTTCTGGCTGTGATTACTAATGTTAAGGCGGCCTTCTCGACTTCAGAATATCTCGCCTCTGCGCCTTGAAGTACTCGACTTGTATAGTAGATCGGCTGCTGGGCCCCTCCAGCTTCTCGCAGCAATACAGAACTTAGGGAAAATATTCCCACCGAGATGTAGAGAACTAACTCGTCGCCCGGCTCTGGCTTTGTTAACAACGGTATCTCGCTCAAAAACTCCTTCAACTTCTCAAACACCATTTGAGCCTCGTCATTCCACTGAAAAACTTTTTTCTTAAGTAACTTGAAGAATGGGAAACTCCTTTCCGCAGCTCGAGCTATGAACCGACTTAGGCCTGCAATTCGACATGTCTGGACCTGCACCTCTCTAACATTCTTTTGCGGGGCCATGTCGAGTATGGCTTGCACTTTGTCCTTATTTACTTCGATGCCTCTCTCAGTCACGACATAGCCCAGGAATCATCCTGCCCTTACTCCAAAGGCGCATTTACTCGGGTTTAGCTTCATCCCATGTGCCCTTAGTGTTTTGAAAGCTTCTCTCAGATCTTCTACATGTGAAGTCGAGGACCTACTTTTCACCAGGATGTCGTCCACATATACCTCCATATTGCGTCCAATCTGTGACTTGAACATTCGATCCATCAATCTCTGGTACGTTGCCCCTGCATTTTTAAGCCCGAAGGGCATGACGACATAACAATACGTCCCTTTACTTGTGACGAAGCTAACTTTGCTCTGATCTTCGGGGGCTAATGGGATTTTGTTATATCCCTGGGAGGCATCCATCATGCTTAGCAGTTCGCAACCAGCCGTGGAATCGACTAGTTGATCAATCCTCGGCAAAGGGTAATGGTCTTTGGGACATGCCAAGTTTAAGTCGCGAAAGTCGATACACATACGCCATTTGTTCAATGCTTTCCACACCATCACAGTGTTGGATATCCATTCGGGGAATTGGATCTCTTTGATGTGCTTGGCTTTCAGCAACTTATCCACCTCGACCTCGATTTCTTTGTCTATCTCAGCCCCATGATGTCTGAGTCGTTGCTTGACGGGTTTTTTGAGAGGATCGACATTGAGCTTGTGTTCCATGACCTTCGGATTGATTCTTGTTAATTCCTCTGGGGAGAAAGCAAAGATGTCTCTAAATTCCTTCAACAATTCCACCAACTGTCTCCTTAATTCCCCCTCCAATTCTTTCCTGACTTTGGTGGTTTGTGTAACGCCCCACTTTTATTTGCCAAAATTCAGGATAAATTTTTCAAAATTTATTT